CCCCTTTAAAACATGAGCTCCTTGAAGATCAGGGTTTCGTGGGGTTTGCTCTCTGCTGTTTTCCTCAGCACCTGGCACAGGCACTAGTACATACTTCAACAAACAGATGAATGAAGATGAATTAAGGCAGGACTGAAGCGTGAGGATGGCTGCATAGGGTGATGCAGAGGAAGTGAGGAAAGTATTTCCATGTGTGTCACTTGTTTGATTTGTGGTATCCACTGGGACCAGCGACCCCTATAAAGACCTGTTAAGAGCCCAGATGATGAGTATGTTCTGAACGCCCCTCAGTGAAAGAGGCACCTCTTTGTAGACGCCGACTGGGTCATGGAGTCCTTTGGCCCTTTCAGACTGCCACCAAGAGTGTACAAAGGTGCTCTCAACAAGGATGATAGGATTAAAACTTTTTTTAATCAAGTTTCCCAACCATTCCAGCAGTTGGATTGCAGTCAGACTGAAAGCACAGCTGTCCTAGAATGCAGAGCCTAAGTGAGTCACTGCCCTGCTATTAGCCTGTACTGTGGCCTCAAACAGGTCCCACCACTGTATGTAGTTAGTCTTCCTGGCTATAAAAGTGGGAAAATACCCTCTCACTTTTGCAGGGTTGTTAGGAGCCTTTTGTGTTGTCCATTGATGCAAGGATGCAGCACACATCCCCCAGTCAGCCTGGTGAGAAGGTGGAGTGCTGACTGCTCTAGGTGAAGTCGGCAGTCAGGACTGTGGGAACATGGAACTCCCTCACCAGCTTTGGAAGAGTAGCAAAGGAGATACCTGTGGGCTGTTCAGCTGTGTGGGACTGTTAGATCTCTCCCCACATCTTTCCTAGGGGCTTTGGCTACCTCTGCAGAGCTTCAGGGAAGCCCTGTACTGTGTTGACTTTATATTCCAAAGCATTGTTTTAAGATCCTTTCTAGCTTTGATCATGAGGTTCTTGCCTGTGTGTGTGTGTGTGTGTGTCTGTGTCTGTGTCTGTGTCTCTGTCTCTGTCCGTGTCTGGAACAGCTCATCCTCATTCCTAGAGGTGCTGGTTGGGTATGTGTACTTTTTCCATTAAGATGTGAAGCACCCAGGACGGGATTCCATTTCATTTGGCCCAGTCTCCCAGCTGCCCTTTGCTCTCTGAGGACCCTCATTTGCATCTCCACGAATGGCACCATGTGTTTTATTTCTCTTGGATAGAGTTTGATTTTTTTATCCCTGCTGGGACCAGACCAGTAGGGTTACACTGTTTTCCAAGCTCTGATGAAATCCAGAAACTACTCCTGATTTTTTTATTTTCTTTTTCACTTTATAGACCTCTGTCCAATGAGCTACTAGCCATATATGGCAATTTAAGGTTAAATATAAATAAGTTTTAAATCCAGTTTCTCAGACACACTAGCCACATTTCAAGTGTCATTGGGCAATACTTGGCTAATGGCCTCCATATTAGCTCAGATTATAAAACATTCCATCATAACAAAATTCTGTTGAACAGCAGCGTAACTGTTTCTTCTCAAAGATTCATGAGTGTGGGGAGGGAACTTGAGAGCACTTAGGAGAAAGGTGAGAAAATGAAGTTGTCAAGGATTTCATTTCACTTGAATATACAATCAATGCCCATGGAAGCAGCAGTCAAGAAATTAAATGACATGTTGCATTGGACAATTCTGCTGCAAAAGAGCTCTTTAAAATGTTAAGAAGCAAAGACAAAGACCTCTTTAAAATACTGAGAAGCAAAGACATTACCTAGAGGACCACCAAGGTGCACCTGACTCAAGCCATGGTACTTTAATTGTCTCATATGCATGTGAAAGGTGGGCGGTGAATAAGGAAGACCACAGAAGAATTGATGCCTTTGAATTATGGTGTTGGCGAAAAATATTAAAGATACCATGGATTGCTGGAAAAACAAATCGGTCTTGGAAGAAGTACAGCCAGAATGCTCCTTGGAAGCAAGGATAGCAAGACTTGGTCTCACATACTTTGGACATATTATTAGGAGCGACCAGTCTCTGGAGAAGGGCCTCATGCTTGGTAGAGGGTCAATGAAAAAGAGGAGAACCCTCAATGAGGTGGATTGACACAGTAGCTGTAGCAGTGGACTTAAACATAGCAACTGTTGTGAGGATGGAACAGGACCAGACTGTAAAAAGAGCCCGGAGGCAGCTCCTCTGACCTCTGCCTAGGCATTCTCCTCTGAGCTCCTCTGACTGCTCAAGGGGGAGAAAGAGTCACCATCAGCAGCCAAAGTCTCATCCCTAGGAGGCCGGACGTGCCACCACCCTCCAGCATTTTCACCAGTTCTGGCACCACCCGCTCCTCCCAGGGCACTCTCTACTTCTCTGCTGGGTTCGAAAATTTGTTGCAGTGGCCACACAGAACTCACAGACAATACTCATGATTATGGGGTTTATTGGGGAAGTAACAGGTTATATAATTCAGGTTCAGGAGTGCTCAGGATACAATTCTTCTATCAGGACAGCTTCCCCTCAGCTATGCCTAAAAGCACAGTTCTCTTTGGCCCCTGGCCTCGTGGCCTGGCCTCTGCCCTGCTCAGGCAAGTGTTACAAAGCCCTTTTAGCACTACTGACAGGTGCACCCCACTCCGCCAGCAAACCTTCTGCCCAAGGGCACTCAGCTTTCTCGTTCCATGGGCCTGTGAGCCCACTGCTCTGTCTTGTGTCTCCTGGTTCCACTGCCCTCTCTCTGCCAAGCAGGTCCTGTGAAGGGATCTCGGGTCCAAGGACATGCTCCATTCCACCTCCATCCCTTCTCTCTTGATGCCAGTGAGATCCCCTCTTCTGCCTCTGGGAGAGCTCATTTTCAGCCTAGCAGAATGAGAAAACCAACCAGTCCCCACATTAGAGTTCCATACACCTTATTTCCATGGTCCCCCAACAAGGGTGCCATGTACCTTATTTACACAATAAGCTATCCGATCCCTTTGGTGGTCCACAAGCACTTTACATTTTATGGTTCCACCCAGTAATCTGGTGGGAGTCACAAACACCATGGCTAAAAGAGCCATACCAAGTAATTCACTGTGCCGCCACTGGGCAGCGTTTTGTTCTGTTGTATGTAGGATTGCTATGAGTCAGAACCGACTTACGGGCACCTAACGATTGGGAGCTCTGGTAGCGTAGTGCCTAAAGCACTTGACTGCTAACCAGAAGGCTGGCGGTTCAAACCCACCAGCCACTCCTCAGAAGGAAGATGGGGCAATCTGCTTCTGTAGTGATGCTGCCTTGGAAACCCAAGGAGGGGTTGCTATGAGTAAGGTCCTACTCGACGGCACATAACAACAACGACGACGACAATAGGGAGAAACGTGAGTGGCAAGTGAAAAATAAACGATTGCAAGTTTTACTTCATGCTATTATTTTTTAATATGTTGTAATAAAATAGATGTGACATAAACTGTGCCCTTCTAATCATTTTCAAAAAATGGCATTAATTAAATTGAAAGTGTTATGGAACCATTATCGCTATTTATTTTCAATTACCCTAAGCAGAAACTCTGAACTCATTAAGTAGTAATTCCCCTTGGCCCCGTCCTGGCCTCCGGTAGTCTTTGCTCTGCTTTCTGTCTCTGTGCCTTGGCCTGTCTGGATCCCTCATATTAGTGGAGTCACACTACATTCATCCTTCTGGCTTATTGCATTTAGCATGCATTCATCCATGTGTCAGAGCTTTGATTTTGCTTTGTAACTGAGTAATAGCCCATTGTGCCTATGTATCACATATCGTTTATCCATTCATGTGTTGGGCATTTGGGTTGCTTCCACCTTTTTATTATTGTGAATAGTGCTGCAATGTTTACCTCATGCTGTTTTCAAGGTAAAATCTTTCTCAAAATAGATTCTTTCTTCGGGGGAAGACTTGAGGTTTTCAGTATTAACACATCCCATTAGGAAGTTGTCTCTAGAGCTCTCTCAGCCAGTCAGTTGCTTGTTACCTTTTAGCACGTTGTCAGAACCCAGCTGCCCACCACTTAGCCAAGGAATGGCTCCTTCCTGCCCTGACTCCATGCATCCACTGGAAGGCTCCCTACTAGAAACACTCATAGCACTTTGTGCTTTCCGAGTTAGTGGAAAAGAAAGTTCTTACCATCCTTGGTTTGCCATTTGTGTTTCTACTAAAAGAAGGAAAAAAAGTGATGAAGCAGAAGCCTGGCTAGAATGTCTGCTGCCATGTTTTCTGTCGAACCTGGCAGGGTCTCAGCAGCAGGACCAGGAGCGGGTGAGGCAAGCCAGAGGCCCAGGGTACACATTTAAGGTGCCGATCTTGTGTTTGCACAAGCCTGAGAGCAAATACCTCCTTAAATTTTGTGCCCTGTGTGCTTCACTTGTTTCACCCTCATCTAGGGCCGGCTCTCTTCAGGCCCATTTACCATTTGCTGGCAGACTTGCTGCATGGTTCGAGGAATTCCGGGCTCATACGTAGTTCCTCTAGCACATACAACACCGTAACATGTGGGCACCTCTCTCTGAGTAAACCCTTTAGGTAAGGACTGGATCTCTTGGCTCTTTGCCCATAACAGACAACAAATAAGTGGCTACTGGATTAAGTCAGTCATCCAGGCATCAAGCCAGTGAATTCAGTAGACAAGAACTCTCTTGCTTTAGACTTTCCCCTTGAGAGTTCAGAGTATCCTGCATTGTAACCTCCAAGGCCCAGCTGAGTTCTCTGCACGCAGGGAAGCCAGAGTCCTCCCATCCGAGTGTATGTGTGCTTGGGCACTGCTTCCCCCGTGGCTCTTCCCAGAAACTTTTCTCCTTTAGCCTCAGGATCTTACCTCACTGGAGGTCTCTGGCTCCAGGTATGTTTCTCCTCTCCTCCTTCCTTTACCCTGCATCCCCCAGAGTTCATGTCACGTGTCATGCTGCAGCTTCTGTACAAGGCTGGGCCTGGGCAAGTTGGGGTTGATGTGGGGAGGGGTGGGGTAAAGTGGCAACTGCCTAGGGTTGGAGGCTCCTTTGTGGACTCTGTAACGTGCTTCTCTTTTCTGCCTCCCACAGAATGTATTGAAGAAGAGGGATCAAGTGCAAGCAGAATACGAAGCCAAATTGGAAGCTGTGGCTCTGAGGAAGGAAGACCGCCCCAAGGTCAGGGAAGATGTGTGGGAGGGATGGCCCGATTGGGACCTGAAGGTGGAATCTGCTGGTGCTGAGAAAGTTCTTGGCTTAGATGAGCACTGGGCTGCTAACCTAAAGGTTGGCAGTTCATGTCCACCCAGTGGGTTCACGAGAGAAAGATCTGGAGATCTGTTTCTGTAAAGACTGCAGCTAAGAAAACCTTGTGGGGCAATTATACTCTGTCACGTAGGTTGCTACAAGTCGAAACTGACTTGACAGCACATGACAGCAATAGATGCACGCATCTGGGGTGATCAGTGTGGATGCCATGTTGATGGTACTGTTCTTCCTTCCTTTATGTCTCATTTCACTTCTTGTCTTTCTCTTCCCCTACCAGGATTAAAGACAAGAGTAGTAATGGCCAACATACAAGTGCTTGCAATGTGCAACGTACTTCCATTTGTATGATCTTGATTCCACACAGCAGTTACGTGGTTTAGGTACCATTATTATTCTTACTTGAGAGATGAGCAAACGGAGGCCCAAGATGACACTGATAGCAAGGAGTAGAGCCCAGCTTACAGCCTGCAGTCTGGCTTTAGAGCCATTGTGTTCCTATGCTCCTTCTGTAGTTTGTAACTGGAAGCTCTGTTTGTTTAAAGGGAGTAGACGGTGTTATTAAAAACATAAATGGCAGGGCCCTAAGTTTCAAGGAAATAGTTTGACATCAGAACTGAAATTTTTTTCCCCCAATACCTTGGCTCTTGCTGCTGCCACTGAGCTGAGACATACCTGGAAAGGAACCAGCTTGGGGATTTTGAAACCTGAACCTTTGAAATGGCACGACTTGGCATTTTTTGGTGTTTTTTTATATTAATTGCTTCTCGTGATCACTCCTGTCGTCATCTGAGGCACAGAGGGAAGGCATTGTTCTTCCGCATTTCATGGGTGAGGGAACAATGCACAGCACAGCTCATCAAATGGCTTAGCTTTGTTGATGCCAAATGTCTACATCCAATGTGCTATATGCAGCAGACGTACGGTACATGTTTGTTGCATTGTTTGGTGTGCCAGCCGTAGTAATCTACACAGAGAATGGAGGCTGCATACCTTTCATGGAAAGGTCATAAGGATTGGGATGCTTGTCATTGGCCCAGTGTGTGGAACTGAGACTTGGCCATTTCTGTCTTCAGTCATCTTACTGTGCACAGCTGCCCTGTGTCTTCCAGCTCCCGTCCTGTTGACGAATCCTGGCTGTCCCTGGGATAGCCTGGAGCATGGTACTGTCTGCTCTGCCCATGCCTCAGTCTCATTTAAAGGAATGGCACAGAGGACTGTGTTTATGTTTTAAAATTTTTCCTTCTAATAGTTTAGCCCGCAAATATAAATATAGAAGCCACTTTTCCTGGCTAGGGAGGGAAGGAAAACCAGCAAGTTCGGCCACCAGCATAGTTTGGAAGCTAAGGAGGGACCTTGTACTTTAACGATATCACTTAAATAGTTCTGTCCCTTTCATAATTCTTCGTGCTGAATACAAGCTTTCCCAGAGGTTGATGTTGTCACTTAATGTTATGTTTAGCACGATAAGGAACAATTCCTTTCCAAAGACAGGAGCTGTGACTATTAAGGCTGAATTAAATCTTGGCCACTGGCTGACTGGCTTCCTGAAGTAGAGGAAGCGGCTCTTTGGCTACCACATATCCTGCAGTCAAGCTGCCGGGGCTTCCCAGCCTCCTGGTCTACCCTTCTTACTGGTCTGTGTGACTCCACTTCTCCTTCTGTGGTTGTTGAGACCTTCCTGCTGCTATACCTCCTTGGAATACCACCTACCACTTACGTACACAACTCAGTCTTCGGCCACAGAAGTTCTTTTTTCTCTTTTTCTTTTTTTAACTTTTATTGTGGTGAAAACACAATAAGACACTCACTGACATAACACTTCTCATTTACAGCTCCAGGAACTTTGTTGATATTTTTCATGTTGTGCCACCATTATTGCTGTCCTTTTCCAAAATACTCCACCTGTTAGCTTAATGCCCTCCAAACAAAAGCTTCCCCTCTGCCCCTCTCTCCTACCCCTGGTAACCACTGATAATCTTTGGTTTATATATTTATATATATAAACATAATAACAAATTATGGATAACATTGAGAAGAATGGGAATTCCAGAGCACATAATTGTACTCATGAGGAACCTGTACATGTAGACTAGGAGGCTATCGTTCAAACAGAACAAGGGGACACTGCATGGTTTAAAATCAAGAAGGAAGTGCGTCACGGTTGTATCCTTTCACCATACTTAATCTATATGCTAAGCAAATAATCCAAGAAGCTGGACTATATGAGAAGAACGTGGCATCAGGGTTGGAGGAAGGCTCATTAACAACCTGCGATACGCTGACGACACAGCTTTGCTTGCTGAGAGTGAGGATGACTTGAAGCACTTACTGATGAAGATTGAAGAACATGATCTGCAGTGTGGATTATGTCTCAATATAAAGAAAGCAAAGATCCTCACAACTGGACCAATAAGCAGCATCACGATAAATGGAGCAAAGATTGAAGTTGTCAAAGATCTCATACATTACTTGGTTCTACAATCAATGCCAATGGAAGCAGCAGTCATGGTATCAGACAACGTATGTTGTTGTTGTTGTTGTTATGTGCTGTCATGTCAGACCCGACTCATAGCTACCCCTCCTTGGGTTTCTGAGGCAGTATCACTATGGAAGTAGATTGCCCAGCCTTCCTTCCCAGGAGTGGCTGGTGGGTTTGAACCGACAGCCTTCTGGTTAGCAGTCAGATGCCTTAGGCACTACACTACCAGCAAATCAGCTGCAAAAGACCTCTTTCAAGTGCTGAAGAACAAAGATGTCTCCTTGAGGACTAAGGTGCGCCTGACACAAGCCATGGTATTTTCAATTGCCTTGTATGCATGTGAGAGCTGGACACTGACTAAGGAAGATTAAAGAAGAGTCAATGCTTTTGGGTTGTGGTGCTGGCAAAGAATGCTGAAAGTACCATGGACTGCTGAAAGAATTAACAGATCTGTCCTGGAAGAAGTACAGCTGGAATGCTCCTTGGAAGTGAGAATGGCCACCAGACTTCAACTCACCTGCTTTGGTCATGTTGTAAGAAGAGACCATTCCCTGGAGAAGGATATCATACTTGGTAAAGTAGTGAGTCAGTGAAAAAGGGGACGGCCCTCAACAAGATGGATTGACACAATGGCTACAGTGATGGCCTCAGGAATAGCCGGGATCATGGAGCTGGCACAGGACTGAGCAGTGTTTCGTTCTGCTGTGTACATAGGGTCGCTATGAGTCTGACACAACTCAACAGCACCTACCAACAACATAAATAAATAAAATATGTATCTATCTCTTTTTTTTTTGCCCCCCAACCTATCTTGAAATTATTCCTCCCTTCCCTTCCCATCCCTGGTAACCAGCAAAGAAAGTTCCTTTCCAAATATAAACCTTTCCTTGACTTTGTACAATAATGAATGAATAAGATATTTTTTCCTCCAAGTTCGCCCACATTATGTGGTGTCTTGCAGATTCTGCATTGTTCTTTAGGGTGGCATAGCACTCTATCATCTGTCTGTAGCACAGTTTGTATATCCATTCCTTGGTTGATGGACATTTAGGTTGTTTCCAACTTTGGTATTGAGCCACAGAAGTTCTTAAAAGAGAGAAAGTATTTCTTTTCACCTACTGAAAATAACTAAAACAAACAAACAAAAAGACAACTCAAACCCATTGCTGTCAAGTCGATCCCAACTCAGCAATCCTGTAGCATAGAGCAGTAATACTGTCCCATAGGGTTTCCAAGGCTGTAATCTCCTGGCAGCAGGTTCCCTCATCTTTCTCCTGCAGAGTGGTTAATGGTTTCAAATTACAAACCTTTCAGTTAGTGGCATACCATTAACCACTCTGCCACCGTGGCTCCTTTTATAAGAATAATTTGTAAATATATCGATGTTCTCTTAGCACACCATCGGTAGGCAGTCTTCATCTTCCCTCTTTTTGATCATCTCAAAGCTATTTAAAAGCAAAACAAACCTGGAACCATCATGATGGTGGCAAGCCAGGGGTTCTGATCTGGCAGTGGGGTCCCCAGAATTTGTGCACCAGTCTTGAATAGGCAGCAGCTTCCTTCGTGGGCAGAGGAGGCATCAGTTGATAACCTGTCCAACTCTACTGTGGTTCAGCAGAAAGAATTCCAGCTCTGCCCTCAGCTCGGACAAGTTTACCTGTTAACCTCCGTGGGCCTCAGTTGCTGAATACATGTGATTGTTCTGAACATGGAAAGAGTTCCATATAGTGTCTGACATGACAGCTGCCCATTGGTGGGGCTCTGCTTCCCAGACTAGCCCTATTAGGAGTGCTCACAGAGAACTTTGTTTTCTGCACTTGCTGCCATTTAATATTTTTAAATTTTAAATATTAAATTTTAAATATCTTTTTTTTTGTTTTTTCAGACCACAGTATTTAGACAGCATTTCCTTGGGTCCCCAAAGATCCCCTGCTCTCCTTCTCTCCCCCATGACTACCTCCCATGTCATTCCATCAGTAGGAAGATAGACATCTAGGAAATGAATAACCTAAGGTTCTGGGCTGTTTTGTTGTATGTGGTTTGGAGCCCTACACTCCAGAGCTGCTGTCGAGATACAAGCCAGGCTGTCAGGAAGTGGGTTATGGCTGATTCTACCCCTAAGGACTTTTTAAGTAAGTTGGGGTCATGAGCATTCAACCAGTTCTGCTATTTATAACTCAGACTAGGAGCAAGAATCACAGGTCTGATGCAGGGAAAGAGAGGGTTCCTGCTGAAAGATAAGGAGTATTTACAAGGGAAGGTGCTGGGTCTGGGCTTGTAAGCTAGTGCATGTTAACAGATCAGTTGAGTGAGTCTGGGAGCTTGGTTTGTTTTGAGGTGAAATCTTGAAGGTTGCTCTAAAGAGTAAGGGAAAGTTGATTTGTGTGAAGCTGAAAAATGGTGTCAAAATTTGATCACTTCTCCATAATCA